ACCTGCTTCAAGGTGTTCCTGTACTTGTCATATTCTCCAGCTGCCCATTTCTGACGAAAATCGCTCAAAGGTTTACCATCATCCTTCCACTTTTTGAACTCATCTGCGACACCATCCTTATTCCCAGCAATCGCCCTCTGCCAGCGCCCCGCCATGGGGTTGCCGGCCTTCCCCTTCGCACTGAACTCGAAATTCGATTGTTTGTACTTCCGCCAGAATGCCCACTCATCTGGATCAGCACGGTTCGTCATGGAGACCTCTTCGTCTGCTTCTTTCATGGCGGCGGCCATCTTCATCACGCCAGAGTTGTGGAAGGTCGCCAGGTGCTTGTTCACAACAGTCCAGTCCATGCCAGCATTCTCGGCCACTTCCTTCAGCGCCGACTCGGACTGCTCGAGCTGCGCCTTCAATGAATTCTTAACTGGTGGTGTGGTTGGCGGGCGCTCGCACTCGTCCCATCGGCTCTCATCATGACGCACCTCACGACCAGCACCGTGCACAGCGTCATCAGTAGCGCCCACAGCTTGTGGAGTGGACGGCTGCGACTGCTGACACGCTGGGCCATCCTTCGCCACGTCGTCCTCGGCTGCCTCGGCTGCGTCATCCCTCATGGCCTCGACTGCCGCATCACTCATGACGACATCATCACACTCCTCCTGCATGCGGCCGTCGTTCCCAGCAGCGTTGCCAGGGGCCAGCGTCACAGCTGTGATCTCGACCTCTGGGGACTCTGGTGACTTGGGCTCACCACCCGCCGCCGATGACACGGCCAGCTCTGGATGCTGTCGCTCCCAGGAGTCCATGCCCGCCTGGTTGTCGGGAGGCGGCGTCGCTGAGTCACGAACTGTGCTCTCGAGGGGCCGTGCCGTCTGCGACATGGCCTGGGCGTTCGCGAACGCGCGCCCGAGAGGAGTGAGACAGCTCTCCTTGGGCACTTTCCCAAGCCACTCGACGAGCATGAGCCAAACAAGCTTCAGAGAAGAGGGTGAAGAGAAAGCAGCTGAGGATGGAAGACAACGGCTTGATGACGCCAAAGAAATCCCACCAGCCCTCTGGGCGCGGGTGGTCTAGGGCGCGTCCTTTTCCGACCGCCTTCCTTTCCCTGCTTGGGAGGTTTACCAAGACGGCCCAAGAGGCCCCTCGGGCATCCCAACCGAGCCCCAAGAAGGCCCCCAGGCCCCACCAAAGAGCCCCAAGACGCCCAAACAGAGCACACATATGCCCCAAGAAGGCCCTAACAGGATCTCAGGAGAGCCCAAAGGCAGAGCCCCAGGAGGCCCCAGGAGGGGCCCACGATAATCCCAAGTTGAGCCCCAAGATGCCTCCAAGTTACGGAACGCACGCGAATTTAACATACAAATCAGTGCAACAGCCATTGAGTCATCGAAGCACCCCTCACCCCTCATCGAAGCACCATCGTAGCTTGCACGGATTTCCATCTTAAACTTCAACGCTGGAAGCTATGTGGGATCCTTGTTTTCTCGAAGACGGCTGCACGACTGCATGCATCCTGCCGTCCCTGATTCACCAGCCCCCCTGCCGATCTTTCTGGATGGGCTGGTGGAGATACGCGAAGCGTCAAGAATTCGCAGGATGTGGCCTCGTAGTCCCCCCCCTCCTCGAGGAGAGATCTCCGCGCATGGTCAAGCTCATCCTTTTCTCCTGCACTCTCTCTGTCTCTCTCTCTCTCTCTCTCTCTCTCTCTCTCTCTCTCTCTGTATCCCTCTCTTTATATCTCTGTTTCCTTGTCTCTCTCTTCTCCTCCTCCGTCCACTCCTCGCCCTCCCCCCCCTCCGCCTCCTCCTCCTCCTCCTCCTCATCTTCCTCCTCTGTTTTTGTGTTCTTCACGCGCTCACTAGGAACCCCTGATTCTGCCCATGATGGCATTTGATATTCGGTGTTCTCTCGTCGGGCCTCTCGTCATTTATGTTGTTTCGTGGTTGTAAGGATACAGTTCTCACCATCCCAGTCCATCCCGCACGCTGCAAATCTGATTTATATTCGATGCGTTAGCTTTATACGCACTGGACGTTTGCTGTGGTCCTCATTCAAAACACGTACAGGCACACGAACCGCATGGCGCTAACATAACATAACAACACAAGCATTGAACGGAGCACGTAGCAACACATAACCATAAGCTACTACATACTATCATATGCAATGCGCATGTCATGGCGTCCAAATTTGGACGTTGGCGTCCAAATTTGGACGCCAGCATTCTGGCGTCCAATTTGGACGTTATGAGACCTCAGGGAAGAGTGACCCTTCGCCGGAGTGACCTCTGGCGCGGGCCCACTGGCCCCCCCCCGATCGCCGAAGGCGCGGCGATCGCAGCGGCCTGCGCGCCTCGGTTCGGCCCCCCCGCGCCCCCCCTGACGCCGCGCACCAAAGGCCACCCTTGCCCGGCTGCCGCTCTCACGTGCAGCCGGCGGGGGTGCAGAGCTGAGGTCCCGCGGGCCTGGGGCCCGATCGGCTGAGCGAAGGGCCCGGAGCCGAGCCCCTCACCTCTCTCTGCGGCCACGCGCCCCGAGGGCCCCGCCCCTCGGAGGGCCCCGGCGCCTCCTGCGCACCGCCGAGGCCCAGACCCCCGGCGTCGTGATTTTGTCACAGCGTCGACCTCCGGAGGCCGGGACCCTTTCCCCAGGACCAGCTTTTCGTCCTGAGTCGTTTTTCGACGGTCCCGAGGCCCCGGGAAGGGCCCCTGGAGGCCGAAAAAATAGCGAACAGCCTCCCGCCGTGATGTTTCTCACGACGCGAGGGGGTCCGGGGAGGACGCTCGACGTGCTGGGCGCGGGGGCGGCGCACGGCATGGTCACGACCACCGCCAACGCGAAGGTCATCCGCGCCCTGGCCAGCCAGGCCGCCGGCGCGCGCGTCGCCGGGCACGTGCCGCGCACGCTCACGGAGCAGAAGCAGGCCTCGCGCGCGGCGGCGGGCGGCCGCCGGCACCCGCTGGGGGCGGAGGAGCTGCAGGCCCTCTTCGGCGAGATCCTCGGCGGACCCGCGCGCGCCGCGCCCTCGGGCGCGAGGAGCGAGGAGCGCCCCGCGGGCGCCGCCCCGGGCTCGGACGGCGGCGCCGCGGGCGGGGAGGGCGCGGCCGGGCGCTGCGCCTCCGCAGGGGCAGCGGCAGGGGGGGCTGCTCCTCCTCCTCCTCCTCCTGCTCCTCCTGCTCCTCCTGCTCCTCCTCCTCCTCCTCCTCCTCCTCCTCCTCCTCCTCCTCCTCCTGCTCCTCCTCCTGCTCCTCCTCCTCCTCCTCCTCCTCCTCCTCCCCCTCCTCCTTCTCCTCCTCCTCCTCCTCCTCCATATGGCGGAAGCCCATGCCGAGAAGCACCCTGCTCGCCTCCAGGATTTCGTGGGCTTCGGTGGTTCTCCAAATTGTGGACGGCGCGACGTCCCCACCCAAAAATCAATGGACGTCCTGGGGTCTCAGGGTCGGGTTTCCTGTGGCAGGTTTCTTGTGGTCGAGCTCCTAGTGTAGGGGGGGATGCATCGACTCCCAATCGCCCGTGGATCGCCGATGGGGGCCTGATGGCCCCGACCCGCCCAGGAAGGCGCAGGCGCGCTCTCGGGGACCTCTCGCCGATCTGTCGATCGAGGTGTCGCCGATTCCAGGCCGATGCAGCCCCCCCACGCCAGTCCCCTCCCTGCCGTTGCCCCTTACCTCCGAGCGCTCCGCGAGCCCCTGCCCCCGAGTCGGGCGGCGGGTGCTGGCACCCCCGCGCGCCGCGCCACGCGCCGGCGATGCCCCTGGCTGGGCCCAGCGCCGGGTCGGCCTCACGCGCGCGCTGGAGGCGCGAGGGCTCCGGCTTCGCGTGCAGTCGAAGCGCTGCCAGGAGGAACCCTGCATGAGGAGCGAGGCCCCTTACGTTAGGTCTCGGGCTCCCATAGGGAACGCGAGAGAAAGGTTGCAGCGCAAGCGTGAAGGGCCACTGAGCCCCTCCCCGACGCACAGGGTGCCTTCGTCAGCGGCCCGACTGCGAGAGTGACCCTTCGCCGGGGGGACCGTTGGTGCGGGAGGAGGAGGAGGAGGAGAAGGAGGAGGAGGAGGAGGAGGAGGAGGAGGAGGCGGAGCAGGAGCAGGAGCAGGAGCAGGAGGAGGAGGAGCAGGAGGAGCAGGAGCAGGAACACTGAGCCCCTCCCCGACGCACAGGGCTCCTTCGTCGGCCGCCCGGCTGTGAGAGCGACCCTTCGCCGGGGGGAGCGTCGGCGCGGGCTGGCAGGGGTGTCCCCCCCAGCACTGGCCTGCGCGCCCGGATTTGGCCTGTACCCTTCGGCCCCCTAAAGCTCCTCCTCCTCCTCCTCCTCCTCCTCCTCCTCCTCCCTCCTCCTCCTCCTCCTCCTCCTCCTCCTCCTCCTCCTCCTCCTCCTCCTCCTCCTCCTCCTCCTCCTCCTCCTCCTCCTCCTCCGCGCGCCAGGGGCCCCTCTTGCCCAGGGCCAGTCGAGGGTTCGGGAACTGTCGGGTAGCGTGTCGCGGGTTCTGGCCCACCACGCTTCGGCGCGACACGCTTTCCACCTCCCGGCGCCCCCCCAGGCTTTAACGTCCCGAGCCTTTCCGAGCCTCCCCTCCCGCCCCACGGAGCGGAGCGACACGCTGTCCGCTCGCAGGGCACAGCGCGTCGCCCAGGCCGCCGCCGCGACACGCTAAGCAGAAGTTCCCGACCGTAGAGGGGAGGGGGTTTGACCCAAAGCGAAGTCGGAGAGAGGGAGCCCAGCTTGAGGCGGGAAAACAAAAACAAAAAAAAACTCCCCCGGGGGCCGTCCAGCGCGACGTTCCTCGAACCCCACCACTTGCCTTAAGTCGGGCCTGTCCCCCTACAGGAGGATTTTGGACGACAAATAAAAAATAGTCAAACAATATGTTTAAATACCCAAAAATGGTCAAAAAATTGTCGCTAGACTATTTTTTGACTATTTTTGAAAATTCCCCCTGTGGAGGGACAGGCCCGGCTTAACGCTTGCCCTGCCCCACCTTTACGCCCCCCACCCCCCTGGGGGAGGCGGTGCACGACCGCTGCGCCGCCGGCGCGGAGCTCGCCGCCACGGCGCACAGGTGCCTCGAGGCCCTGGGGGCCGCCTGCTCCGGCGCCCTGTCCGGGCCGGAGTTCCGCATGGCCCCGTTCGACTGGTCGCCCGAGGCGCCGACTCTGAAGGAAGCGGGCCCAATGGCGTATAGGACCCGCTGCCTCGCCCTCTTCCTCGTCGTCGCTCTCCTCCTCCTCCTCCTCCTCCTCCTCCTCCTCCTCCTCCTCCTCCCTCCTCCTCCTCCTCCTCCTCCTCCTCCTCCTCCTCCTCCTCCTCCTCCTCCTCCTCCCTCTCGCCCGCCATCTGTCGCTTCACTTGCGCCCCCGCTCGTTTCCTTATCTGCTGCAGCGCACTGCGGAACGGATACCGCGCTACATGCGCGCGCGCGGCGACGCGAGCATCGTCTCGCGATGCCGCATCCAGCCCATCTGCGAGCACTGAGCTGCGAGTCGTGGGACGCGGCTTTGTCTCGTGAGGGGAGGCGGGTCCTGCGGCTCTGGCCACCGCTCTGGGGCTCCCTCGGGCTCTCCCCGCGCCCGTGGGCCGTGAGGAAGCCACCCGTCCCGGGACGGGGATTCGCCCGTGACCACCGCCTGGGGGATCGATCTTTCGGAAGTGGATAGACCACTTCCACCTCCTCCTCCCCCTCCCCCTCCTCCTCCTCCTCCTCCTCCTCCTCCTCCTCCTCCTCCTCCTCCTCCTACCCTGACACGTCGATTAGGGAATTGGCCGTTTTCGGTTCGCGAGGGGGCGCCGCGGCCGTCATGTTTGGGGGTCCAGGTCCGCCGGTTCGGGTCCCAGGCCGTTCTCACGAAGGGGAGGTCTACGAAAGGGAGGCTTGCCCACCGCCAAAGCTTCGTGGACCTCGGCAGGGCTGCACCTGGACACCTTCGGGGCTCTGGGGCGGGGCACAGCTGCCCAGATCCACCGCCTGTCTCCTCCTCCTCCTCCTCATCCTCCTCGTCCTCCTCCTCCTGCCATCATCGTGTCCCCGTCCCCGTCTGCTTGCTGGTTCTTGGGCAGCCGCTCCGCGGCTTCAGGTCCCGCGAAGATCGATCCCCCCATGCTGGCGGCGATGCCCTGGAGAAGCCCCCGCCTCGCAGCCTGGACGAGCATCCGATCCTGGGGGGAATGCCCCCCTCGGACGGGCCCGGGCTCGAGATAAAAGTCCGTCCCGGAGCGCTCCGGAGCGCTCTCGGGGGCGTTCTGGAGCGCTCGGAGGCGGCCGCGGCGCCCGAGGCATCCCCCAAACCCGCCGATTCCCATAGGTCTCCGATTCTAGAGGAACAAAAAGTGTCATAAACATAAAAATTGATAGAGGAACAAAAAGTGACATAAACATAAATAAAAACATAAAACAGAGGAACAAAAAGTGGCATAAACATAAAAACTCGGAGGTCCGCGCGGACTTCTCGGATCCGCGCTGGGGCCCCCCGGCGGCGCCTCCGGCGCCGCCCCTGGCGCGCTCCGCGCGCCAGGGAGGGGGGTCCAGCGCCGATCCGAGCAATCCGCGCGGACCTCCGAGTTTTTATGCTTATGTCACTCTTTGTCCCCCTAGATTCACATCTGTGCGACGATGTCTCGATTCTGCCGTCGTCTCACCCCAGGTTCCAGGGCCCGTTACTCCCTCGGGGCACGCTCCCCTCACGCCCGAGGGGCTCGAGGAGGGGATCGAGTGCAGAATGGAGTTGCCCCAACTTTGGTTCCACGTCAGATCTACGAACGAATACATCGAATGTGCGTAATTAGATCGACGAGATTTCGTCACGCTACCCATGGAGTCGACGAAAAAAACACAATCTTGGGGGTAAAATCAAGTCTGCAGTCGATCCCGCACTCGAGAGGTGGTGTTGGAGCTGTTCGGCTCCTGCGAGCAGGGCACCGCGCTGCGCAGCTCGGACGTCGACGTGCGCATGTCCTTCACGCAGTTCCACGTGACGGACAAGGAGAGGCAGCTGAGGCATGCCCGGGGTGGGCATCGTCGGGGAGGGACAGGCCCAGCCCACCTCGCGTCGTGTTTGTGCGTTTCTGTTGGCGTTTTTATTTTCTTCTTTTTTGAAGCAAGAAGATGGAACACATGATATATGCACAGCTGCACACGTGTTTTAAGACAGGTGTGCTTTTTGCTATCTTCGGCCTCGTGGGGCCCCTGGGGACCCCCTCGAAAGCGAAACGATCCGGGATGAAAAGCCCGTCCTTGGGGGAGTGGGTCGAGACCTCCGAGGGTCGGCGCTGCGAAGAAGGGATGACGTCGGGGGTCAGAGGGCTCAGGGGGTGACGCACCGGCCCTCAAACGCCCACTGATCGCCGATAGGGGCCCGACAAACCCCCCGCTCAGGAAGGTGCGGATTCGCTGTCGGGGGCTTATCGCTGATCTATCGACGATGTACCGCCGATTCCAGCTCGATGCTTCGCCCCCTGGGCACGACCTCCCAACCGTTCACCCTCGTCTGACCGAACCCCATGCACACTGGGCCGTGGCCACTCAGCCACACCAAGTCACCCGCCCAGGTGGGGATAGGCCCGGCGAAGCCCGAAAGGAACAGCCCCCCACACCATGCCCATGGGATCGCACCCCCCCTCCCTGTGGAAGGATGTGGCGTGGTGCTTCGGTTCCCCCCTACCCCCGTTGGTGTGGAGTGGTCCTGCGGTGCCGTCGTCGTCGTCGTCGTCGTCGTCGTCGTCGTCGTCGTCGTCGTCGTCGTCGTCGTCGTCGTCCCCAACCCATCTGGGGGAGGCCCGTGGGGCCTTGGGACCCACCCCACCTCTGGGGGCGGGCGGGGGCGGCGGTGCGCCCGCCGCGGGGGCCAGGGCCGCGCCAGTGCGGGCGGGCATCGGCCCGGCGATGTGCTCAGAGGTACCTGCGGGCGGTGGCGGCCTCCCCGGGGGACCGGTTCGAGGTCGTCCGCCTCATCGAGGCCAGGCTGCCGGTGCTGCGCCTGCGCTTCCTGGAGGGGGTCGGCCGCGGGCGCAAAGCCGAGGGGGCGCCGTGGCAGAGCCACGAGCGAAGGGAGGAGCGCGCGCGAGTGGACGAGACAGGGGAAAAACCCGGCGACCCGCGCAGGTTTTTCACGCCAGGCGTTGCCGCGCAGTTGCGGGCCCAGGGAGCCTCAAGAGTCGATCCAGTCCGAAAAATGCCGCGGAAAGACTGGGTCTGGGGCTCCAGTCGTTTTTCGCGATGCTGCTATTGTTGCGCAACGTCGAAGTTCTGGAGCCCACCCCCCCATCGCCGAAGCCTTCTCGCCCCCCCCACGGGTGCCTTGGCCCCCTCCCTCTGCTCGCCGCTGCCAAAGGGGGGCACCGACGTGGACCTCACCATGGGCGACTCCATGGAGGGCGGCGCCGAGGTCGCCACGACGACGACTACCACCACCAAGACGACCCCGTCGTCGTTCTCGCCCTCGTCCTCGTCCTCGTCAGCCTGGTCCCGTCCCCGTCCTCGTCCTCGTCGATCCTCGTCGTTCTGGCCCCCGTCGGCGGCGTCGTCGGCGTCGTCTTCGGCGGCGGCGGCGTCGTCGAGGTCGACCGCTTCGTGTGCTCGCTGCTGGGCGCGGCCGCGGACGACGGGGCGCGCAGGTTCGCGCGGCTCGTGAAGGCCTTCGCGAAGGCGCACGGGCTGGTGGACGCGTACGGCGGCTTCCTGAACTCCGTGTGCTGGGCGCCCTCCCAGCTCCCCCTCACCCTCCCCGCGCGTGGGTGAAGAAGTCGCGGCGGGGCGGTGCTGCCCAGTCTCGGCTCCCGTGGGCCCTCGACCGGACCCGGGACCGTCAAGCGACCCGGGGTGAGAAGACCCAGCCCCCTGGGGAGGGGTCCGGACTGTGGAGGTCCAAGTGAGAAAGGCACGGTGTGGGAGTTCTGGCATCTTCCTGCTCTGCATCCCGTGTACTTCTGGCGCCGATCCCTCATGTTCTCCCCCTCGCTGCCCCCCCTGACCCCTCCTTCCCCCCATCCCCCATCCTCCTCCTCGATCTCCTCATTGTCCTCCTCTTCCTCCCCCTCCTCCTCCTCCTCCTCCTTCTCCTCCTCCTCCTCCTGTTCCTCCTCCATCTCTTCTCCCTTCTGATCTATCCTGGACCCTCCCCCCAGCTCTCCTCCCTTGTTTCCCTCCTCCTCCTCCTCCTCCTCCTCCGACATCGTCCTCTTCCCCTTCAGAGTCATCAGAAGCTATGGTTTATCAGAAGCGATGGTTTCCAATCTTCACCAGCATCGGTTTTCAAGGGTGAGAGAGCATATGAGCCCCACCCGAAATCTACAGGCTTATGACCTTCAAGGGTATTGGCATTGCACTGCGATCCTTCCCTTTCTCTCTCCTCCTGTTCCTTCTCCTCCCCCTCCCCCTCCTCCTCCTCCTCCTCCTCCTCCTCCTCCTCCTCCTCCTCCTCCTCCTCTTCTGACGACGACGAAAGACGACGACGGCGACCTCCTGATCCTCCTCTTGTGACGGCGACGGCCACCATCACGACCACGACGACCACCACTACGACCCCGTCGATGACCATGACGAAAACGACGACTCCATTCCCTATTTCATTTTCCTCATCCTGTTCATCCTCCGTTTGGAGTTGGCCAGACCTGAGTGCTACGACTGTGGCGCTCTAGCAAAAAAATAAGGGTACTTGGCGCAAGGGGTACTTGGCGGGCGCCACGGAAAGGGTGGTACAACAAGGCAGCGGCAAGAGTAGAAGAAAGAGTAGGCGCCCGCCAGGTATTGCAACGTGCAACTGTACAACAGTGCACCGAACGATAAGTTGTTGTTTATCAACATATGTACGACGAGACCCCGCTCTTCGCGTTGTAGGTACCTGGTGCAAAAAGAGTGTCGGGGCGGCTGCAAGTCAGAGCGTCGCCTCGGCAGGTCGGGTGCAAGCTAGTAAGACACGTGGGCAGATTGCTCACTTGTCCGTTAGCAGTGCACATCCTCCTCCTCCTCCTCCTCCTCCTCCTCCTCCTCGCCCTCCTCGTCCTCCTCATCCTCCTCATCCTTTTCATCCTCATCCTCCTCCATCCTTCTCCGCCTTGACGACGACCACCACCACCACCACCACTACCACGTGGAAGACGATGGCAGCGACGATCACCACCACCATCGCGGCGACGTGCCCTCCATCTTCCCTACGCGCTCACTCGCTCGCTCGCTCCTCCATATCACCCACTCACGCACTCACTCACTTACTCCTCCCCCCTCCTCCTCCTCCTCCTCCTCCTCCTCCTCCTCCTCCTCCTCCTCCTCCTCCTCCCTCCTCCTCCCCCTCCCCCTCCTCCTCCTCCTCCTCCTCCTCCTCCTCCTCCTCCTCCTCCTCCTCCTCCTCCTCTTCTCCCCCTCCCCCTCCTCCTCCTCCTCCTCCTCCTCCTCCTCCTCCTCCTCCTCCTCCTCTCTCCTCCTCCTCCTCCTCCTCCTCCTCCCCCTCCCCTCCTCCTCCTCCTCCTCCTCCTCCTCCTCCTCCCTCCTCCTCCTCCTCCTCCTCCTGCTCCTCCTCCTCCTCCTCCTCCTCCTCCTCCTCCTCCTCCTCCTCCTCCTCTCCTCCCCCTCCTCCTTCTCCCCTTCATTTCTCCCTCGACGGCGGCGGCGGCGGCGGCGGCGGCGGCGGACGACGACTCCTGCCTCCTCTCCCCTCCTGGGTGTTCCTGGCCATGTGCTTCCTGCAGCTGGAGGGCTGCCTGCCGCCAGCCCCGCCCGACAGGGCGCCCCCCGCCGGCGGGGCGCCGCGGCGGGGCAGGCTGTGGACCGTGCAGTTGTCGCCGCTGCTGCTGGCCCTCGGGGGGAAGCCGAAGCCGCGGCCGCCGCCGTCGCCACGCCGTCGCCGCCACGCAGCTCCTCCGGGGCGTCGGCGTCGTCGTCGTTGTCGTCGTTGTCGTTTTCGTCGTCTCTGTCGCGGCCGCTGTGGTCGGCGACGTCGGCGAGGGGAAGGGGGAGCATGGAGGGTAATGAAATGGTGATGAGGAGGAGGAGGAGGAGGAGGAGGAGGAGGATGAGGATGAGGATGAGGATGAGGATGAGGATGAGGATGATGATGATGATGATGATGATGAGGATGAGGATGAGGATGAGGATGAGGATGAGGATGAGGATGAGGATGAGGATGAGGATGAGGATGAGGATGAGGATGATGATGATGAGGATGACGGATGAGGATGAGGATGAGGATGAGGATGAGGATGAGGATGAGGATGAGGATGAGGATGAGGATGAGGATGAGGATGAGGATGAGGATGAGGATGAGGATGAGGATGAGGATGAGGATGCTGCTGCTGCTGCTGATGATGATGATGATGATGATGATGGTGGTGATGATGATGATGATGATGGTCATGGTCATGGTCATGGTCGTGGTCTCGATCATGGTCATGGTCATGGTCATGGTAACGATGGTGATGGCGATGATTACGTTGATGATGGTCATGATCATGGCTATTGTTATGGTGATAGTTATAAGTATGGTTATGATGTGATTGTGACACTAAGACAGGTCCCACTAAACCCAGTTCTGCCAGCGCCCGAAATAATAATGACTAGTTGTGATTAGCATGACGGTGATAAGGTGACAAGGATGATGAGGAGGGGGAAATGGAGAAGAGAGGAGGGAGGAGCTAAGAGGGAGGAGGGGGAGAAGGAGGAGGACGACGGCGAGATCGAGAAGGAGCGAGAGGGAGGGCGAGGATAATTGTGTGACGTCATCTGATTTGTGCTGTGGAGCTGTAGTCTCTGCGGGGGGGTATGGCTTCCTCCCCCTCCGTTCACCGGCTTCAGAGACGGCCGCCCGACGCCTCCGTCTGCCTCTTCTCTCTCGCTCTGTTGCCCCATCCTGCTGACACACTTCTTGATTGCCTCACCTCACCTCGCCTCATCTCATCTTTTCCTGCACCTCCTCCTCCTCCTCGTCCTCCTCCTCCTCCTTCTCCTCCTCTGCCTCCCTCACACCCTGCCCCGTCCCCCCCTCTTTGCCCCACCTCCCCCCTCCTCCTCCTCCTCCTCCTCCTCCTCCTCCTCCTCCTCCTCCTCACCCTCCTCCCTTTGAAACCCTATTCCCCAATGCGGCTTGCCTAAGGGGTTCTTACTTGATCAAAGGTTGGTGCCTCGTGTTCTTACGGTGCCCGTTGCTCGGGGGTCCCCGGGTACCCGGGTTTCCCCGGGCTCCCCGCCCCCCGTGCCTCTTATTGTTACTTTGGCCTTTGCTTGGGGGTTCCCTGGGTTCCCCGCCCCTGGTGCAATGCCAGGCAATGCGAAGTTCCCTGGATTCCCCAGGTTCCCCGGGTTCCCCGCCCCTGGTGCTTCATGCAATGCCAAGCAATGCCAAGACATGTGGTTCGCATCTTAGGTCCGCGCACGTGTGCTTCATATGTTTGCAACTGTTATTGTCCAAAACCCGGATAGCCAAGCGCGAGACGCGCGCGCGGACGCGTCTTGTTGCGCAAGCGCACCCCTGGCGTTGCGCGTGTCTTCGTCTTAACGGTGCTTGTTAGGTTGCCTCAAGCAGGCTTCAGGCAGACGGTGGCGCTGGAGAGCTTGCCTGGCGCGCTCCTGAAGGGCCGTAAACGTGCGTGGTGGCGCTGGAAAGCTTGCCTGGCGCGCTCCTGAAGGGCTGAGAACGACGCTTCCACGCGTGCCTGCACGCGTGAGAGCTCGCTGCCCGGGAGCTTCGCGAGGCCTCTGGAGCACGTTCTACGGGAACGTATTGGAACGGAAGCTCCGGGACACGCTGCGGAACCCGAACGGACACGGAAGGGCACGTGGAGCGGTGGGCGCAAGGGTGCGGCGGCGTACGCGCACCGGCCGGCTTCTTCTCTAACAACCCTACGTAGCCCACGAGGCTTTCCGGGAATTTTGTCAGCGTCCAAAACCCGGATAGCGAAGCCAAGCGCGGAACGCCGCACGGGGACCTCTGCCAGGCCGAAACTGGGCGCCGGCGGTAAACCGTCAACCTGGTTACCGCCGGGGACCTCGTAGAGCTCCTAGCCACGTGTCATAAGTCCATGCATATCTCTGGAATGCGCACGGTGAATTTATTTCCAATAATAGAATGAACACATACATGTATGAGTTTCAAGGCGTCTTCCAGCGCGCGAGAGCGATGCTTCCGTGGCAGCGCACCTGTATGTAGACATGTACAGATGGACAAGCATGCGAAAATAGGATCGACGTCAGCCGGCGCGGCAACGCACCGGGCACGAGCGCGCGCACGCACATACGCGCGCACGCGAATAAATACAATCTCACGCGCGCACGCACTCACAACCACGCGCGCTCACTCACGCACCGGCACCCCTCACGCACACACATGCACACACACGCACGCGCACACACACACACACACACACGCACACACACACGCACACACACGCA